AGCCAAGAGCTTCTTCTGGGTCTCCCACATGGGTTCAGGGGCCCAAGGACTTGAGCTATCCTCCTCTGCTTTTCCAGGTGCATTAGCAGGGAGCTGGATGGGAAGTAGAGCAGCCGGGCCTCGACCTGGCTCCCCTATGGGATGCTGGTTCCACAGGGGGCAGCTTTACCCACTACACCACAGTGCTGGCCCCTCGGCTCTACTCTTAAAACAAATCTCAAGGTGCCCATCATTTCCACGGCTGTAGTCTCTGACCACAACACCTTGCTTGGACAACTGAAAGAACCCAAGTGCTTTATTCCTCTGCTTTCAACCTTCCCATAGCTTCCCATCAACTTAGAATAAAATTCCAAACTTCTGATCTGCTCAATTTTCCAGCCTGTGTCTCCTATTTGGCCACTGGCTCATCCACTCCCATCAGCCTGCTTGCTCTTCCTAAGACTTTGGAGCTTATCCCCAGCTCAGGAATGCACTTCTTCCAAATAATGACCAGATTTGTCCCTCACTTCATCTGGAACTCTGTCCAAGTGACATTCCTTGGAGATTTTCCAGTCTTCTTCACCCAAAAAGGGCATCCTATCTAGTCCCTTCCGGGCATTTTTTTACTTACCTGCATTATTTTCCCTTTTAACACTTATAATCACTGGACATTACCCTACTCATGTGTTTCATTACTTATTGTCTGTCTGTCCCAACTAAAAGACCACAATAATGGCAGAAAGTTTGTCTGTTCTGTTCTCACTAACACCAGTGCTGGCCACCTCGCACAGAGTCATGGTAATGGAATACCCATGATCAGTGCGGCAGAAAAGGAGGATTTGCCTTATTTGTGTGAAATCGGCAGGAAGGTCATCATCATGCAAAAATATGGGCCAGAACAGGAGAGAGCAGTGTTTTTCAGAAGAACAACAAGACACGAGACAACTAGAAATCCGTACTGTCTCCACCATGGATGAGATGAAGCCGGTCTCAGCCCAATCTCTTCATCTATTAACAAGAAACAGGGGAGAGGTTGGGGAAGGGAAAATGAGGTTACTCAATCAAAAACTTTCAGAGTTCTCAGAAAAAATTAATTCCGTCAATTCAAGGTATTGTTAATATCTATCTGGCCATGTCTGATGAAATACTTGGATTCCATGAATTTAACCACTTGCTAATGTCACTCTTGGTTCTTTAGGCCTGCTGGCAGGTGGCTTGCTCCTTTGTTCTATTTTAATCCTCCAGCTGTCATGCGAAAAAATTTGCCTGTTACGAAACAATCTCTTGACCTCATTACCCAGAAAGTCCCTGTTTTGTTTTTGTTTTATCAAGCACATTAGAGGTTTGTGGTGAAAGCTGCATTTTTACGGATGGATAAAAGTTTACCAGAGGCTAAAATAAGGAGGATGTTAAATGCTTGACCTCCTCACTTGCCCCCGTGTCTTGTGCTCAGGAGACAAAGCTGCTCCATTCTGTTCCTGGGGCCTGTCTGCTCTTAAGAAGAGGAAAATCCAGAGTGCAAGAGAATGTACTGAGTGCCTAAGTGAAATAAATGTACATCGGCAGGCCAGTAGCATCCAGTGCCTTGGGTCCATGGTTGAGCCTACTGACAACCCTGTCTCCTGATCCTGAAGATCTTCTCAAACATTTTAAAATTTATTTGAAAGGCAAGCAGATAGGCTTCACTTCCCAGATACTCACAACAACCGGCGCTGGGTCAGGCTGAAGCCAGGATCCCAGAACTGAATCTTTATGTGAGGGGCAGGGACTCACCACCTTCTTCCCCTAAGGATGCCGGAATCAGAAGCAGAACTTGAACAAGGAGCCAGACGTTCTGTTACGTGATGCTGGTGTTCCAAGACTGTTCCTAACTGCTTTGCCAAACGTGCACCTCCGGCAAGAGCTGAAACCAACCCCGTTCTATTATGTGATTGTGGACTCTTGATTCAGCATTCATGGGATTCTTTCCTTCTCAAATCTAATCCCTTAAAGTAGAAATCTTATGAGATATAGTTAAAGCTAACATCCTTTTAGTTACATATTTCAAAGCCACACTCTTGAAAGGATTCTCCACACAATTCATTCAATGGATGCTTACTGAGTATCTCTTTTGTGCTGGGTGTTACATTTAGCACTGGGAATAAAAAAGTGACTTAGAGGCATATCCTTTCTTTAAAGAGACACAAAGCTTAGCTGTAATGAGGAAATGTTTCTCCAGAGAGCTAAAACGCATTCATCTATCGACAAATGCCCTGAGAGTGATGGAACAGTGGTGTGTTTAAAGGTTATTTAGGCCTAGACATCACACCAGTCCTAATGAATTATGTGTGGGTGCTTTACAACCACAAGGAGATGCAATTACTTCATTTGTAAAATGGAAATTGTGATAGTACACCTGCTCCCTTGGACTGATGTGAAAAGTCAGTGAGATAATACATACAAAATGCTCAGCACAGTGCCTGCCATGTACTATGTGCTTAATAAATGCTAGTGGTTATTTTCAGTATTATTGAGATGCTGATAAGGTAACAGCTCAAAGGAGAGAAAAGACTTCCATTTGGAGGGATAAGGCAACTTCCTTTAGGAGGTAGTATTTCAGCTGGTTTTTTTTTTTTTTTAAGATTTATATTTATTTGAAAAGCAGGAGTGAGAGAGAAAGAGACAGAAAGATGGAAAGAGAAAGAGATCTTCCATTCATGGATTCATTCCCCAAATGGCCACAATGGCTTGGGCTGGGCCAGGCCAAAGCCAGCAGCCAAAACCCCATAAAGGTCTTCCATGCAAGTGGCAGGGGCCCAAGTATTTGGGGGCATCCTCTGCTTCTTTCCCAGGTGCATTAGCAGGGAACTGGATTGGGAGAGGTTTTGCTGGCCCAAGCTGGATCTTAGAGTAAATCAGACTTGAGCGTATGAACTCAACATAGAGAACAAAGAGAAGGTTGTGTTGGGGGAATGATGAACAGTTGGTGATTTTTGTTGTATTGTGTGTTGTGTGTGTGTGTGTGTATATATATATATTTGAGCTAGTTTTGTAGGAAAGACAGCATGAAGAATAGTGGAGAATTCATGTTGAAGAGATAGGCTACAGCAGATTACGAAGGATCTTGAATGCTAGGTTGAGGAATTTGTGCTTAATTTCAAAGACATTATAGAAATTCCTAAGACTCTAAGTTTTGGTTAGAAAAGGGAAAAAAATAGTGTTATTCAGGAGGATTGAACTGGAGGTGATGGGTCAAGTGCTCAGCCTGTTTATTAAGATGCCGGTTAGGATGCCTGTGCTGGACCTCAGCGTGCCAGGTTTGATCCCTGGCTCCAAATCAGGATTTCAGTTTCCTGCTAAAGTGGACCCTGGGAAGCAGTGGTGATGACTCAAGTGATCTGGTCCCTGCTGGCCTTGTGACATACTTGCAATGAATTCTTGGCTCCTGGCTTTTGCTAGCTCAGCTCCGGCCCTCATGGGCATTTGGAGAGTGAGCCAGAACATGAGAAATATTCTCTTTCTCTCTCTCCTCTCGAATCAGTCACAGAGGAAAATGATGTGAGGGGATGCACTTGAATCAAGGAAGCCAAGCGGAAAGCTATTAGATGTTTAGACAAAAAGTGATGCTACTATGCTTTCCCCTCCCTCTGAATGACCACAGCCCACAGAGCTCATCTGGAGCCAAAGAATCTTTGCTGTAGGCAGTAGCAGTGTTAGAGATAAGCTTTATTGTTGCCCATCCTTGAACTAGAATCACCATAGAAGAGGTGAAAGAGTTGTTGATGGTATATATCCCGCAAACACATCCTGCACTCAAATGGAAAGGGGGACAGGAATCCGACAGTCACCATAAGTCACAAAATGGTAGCAAAGTCTATTGCAAATTGTCAGGGATGGAGGTCTCAGTTTATGATTCAGACAAACCAACTGTTCTCTCCCAGTATTTTGACTAGTGGGGTAATTCACAAGTCGAATGGCCCCTTGGGACCATATTTGAGCAAGGGTGGGTTATATGATTCATAGTGGATTTTGGCTTTCCACAGGACTCCTGTGCCTCATCTAGTAAACTCTGATGGAAATTACAAACTGTAGAAATTCAACCCAGTGCCACAATAACAGGATGCACCTGTAGATTTCGTAGAATTAGCAGCAGCATTCTACCAGCACCAGGTTGACAAGAAAGAACACCGCTGGCAGAGCGCCTACTGAAGCAGAACTTGAAATGTCCAAAGTTTAAAACCAAAGGCCACTTTTAGTATCATTCTTTAAGTCACAGGAGTGGTGAACATCTGGCTCGTGGGTCATATAAGGCCTGCGAAATCATTTGTTCTGGGCCACACTAAGGCAACCACAGATAGAACTCAAAATTCAGTAACTGTATAGCAGGCTAACTCTTAAGTCGATGGTTTTGTAAGGCCTGCGAATGATGTTCTAAATACCCAAATGGTTCCCCATGCCTGTGAGAGAGAGCCAAGCTTGGGGGTAATATTGCTTACAAAATGACAAGGCCCCTTCAGGAACCCAGGACACCATGGTTAAGCAACTGATTCCGAATCTTAGGTTACTCACCACTTGGCCTCTCAGTCTGTTGCTTCGTTCTTACCAATCTGAATATTGGAAACCAACCCTGAAACCACTAGACTATTGAAACAGATCTAGAGTCTGACAACTTTAGGAAATGCTGGTGAATTGCCAAGGATGTCCCTCCACACTCCTGCTCAACTTGCATTTATAGCTCCTGAGGGCTCTGCTGATTCCCCAGGGAGCTGCAAAGCTGCTGGGCGTGGTTGGGGGGCTGCAATTTACAAAATGCTAAATGAGCCCACTGCCAAGAAGTGCTTGCTCACCCCTCCTTCAACGGCAGGGGGAATCTCCCTTTCCTTTTATGGGTGAAGCTGAAGAAAGGATTCATAACTGAAGTTTAATCCTTCTCACCAAACCCAGCCCACACCTCCCAGCAATTGAACTTGAAAAAAAAAAAAAACTCGTTTGAAAAATTACCACAAACTATATTGTCATCAAAACACACACACACACACTCACTCACACACACACACACACACACATACACTTCCTATATTTGAGATCAGAGACCAGAGTGCTAGGCACAGTTTCCTGGCTGAACACACCAGTCTAATACTCACAGGGTACAACTCCTGTCACGGAGACTGGTTGGAACGGCAAAGATGACAGCCCTGGCGGGTTGATCTTTTCATCCCATATCCTCCCAGCGTAATGCAGTAAAGAGGCTGACGGACAACCCAGTATTCTGCAACGAGACGGCCTCAAGCTGATTCCCAGCGCCAGGGAGATGGAGCCACGCTTGCTGCTCTGGGGATTAGTCACGTTCATCATGGTGCCTGGCTTCAGGACAGGTAAGGTCATGGGTGCCCTCTGAGTCTTGGGAAGGCCAGTGGACATCACCTTCCCCGGACTTAGAACCAGAGGGGACTCCTAAGTAGAAAGTTCCCAGAGGGGTTGAATCTTGGGTTCCACGGCTTGTGTATGATTCCCTGGGGCCTTCCTTTATGCCTCAGGGGTCACCAGTCTGTAAAGAGAGCTTGGGATGGGGTTAGGCTCTCCTGTCACTCACAGTCCTTGACAGCTGATTCTGGGAAATACAGAATGGCATGATGTTTGGAAATCAACAGGCCACTGATGAACAGATTCCTTAAGAAGTTCTCTTTCATATTCCAATGAAGTCGATTTCCCACTGCAAGTCCCTACCCCCCAGTCCCAGCAGTAAGATAACACTAAAAAGTTATTTGGAATCTCAATTGGCCTGAGGCATAAGTAACTTGTATATGGAACACTGGGATCATATAAGAGCTCAGAAAAGTTTACCTTCCAGAACATGTACTGTGCTTTGACTGCTTCTGGAAATTGTACTTAGGAAGCTCCTTAAAACTGCAACTTAATAGAAATGCTAAACAATAAACATACTTATGTCCAGACCATTACTTTTTCCTAGGCTCCTACAAAAATGTACATTGTACATGTGTGCTCATATATATATATAATATATATACACATATATGCAAATTTTGATTCATCCTGGGTTTTCTCAAAGACTATTGTAAAACAGAAATCAAAAAACCACCAACTCATACCTCAAACCACCTTTCCTAATTGAGTGTAAATTCTCTAATAACATCTTCCCTTGCTAAACCAGAAAGACAGATATGAAAGTATAAGGTCTTTTTTCTGAAAGTCTATAATTTCATATCACGAGTTTCAATCAATTTAATGCTAAGTGACTATATTAAAATGTGCCAAGAAGTGCAACATGATCATGCATAGGAAGAGCTTGTTTCCTTGTTTGGTGAAGTGGCCAATTTGTGGAGTGCTACGGGTTGCCTCAGGCGTAGGAACTTCTCTGCTTTGGATTTAAAGTGGACATGATTCTAGGAAGGTTTACAGAATAATTTCTGCCTCAACAGGGATGTTGTCGAATCAATCCAAGCCACAGCAGCAAAATCTGCACAATTACTCTCGCCCTACTTCGGGAAGCACATTTCAGGCAGTCTTGGCGCTGTTACCAGCACTGGTGACTCCTCTGAGGATCTGAGCAGTCTCATTGGCAACGAGCCCAGTGGAGTATCGTGCAGACTCTTTCTCTCAGTTCTCTAGAAATCCATCCCCCACCACCTCTCAAGCCCCTTTTCAACACCGCTGAAAATACAAAGTCCTGGCCCTTAGGAGATTGATGGCCTATGTGGTAAGATCTACAGGAGAGTGAAGGCTATCAGAGAAGGCTTCATGGAAGTGGCAGGCAAACAGAGCCTGAAGGGGCTGGTGCATGTCCACAAGGGTGTCAGGGAACAGCACGTGGTCTGCTGTATAAGCTCCCTGCACTGGACAAGCGTGTGGAGAAGCGGGAAGTAAGACTGGAAAAGCAGAACTGGGTCGAATGAATGATCCAAGGTCTTAGATAGCAGGCCAAGACTTTTAAACCTCACATCATAGCCAATTAAGAATTAATAGAAAAAAATTTAAATTACTCTTTATGGAAAGCCTTTTATGTGCCAGGCATGTAAGTCATTTATTTTTTTAAGACTTAGTTATTTATTTGAAAGGGAGAGTGACAGAGAAGGCGAGAAAAAGAGAGAGGGAGATTTTCCATCTCATGGTTCACTCTGTTAATGGCCCCAACAGCCAGTGTTGGCCAGGCTGAAGCCAGGAGCCAAGAACTTCATCCAGGTCTCTCACGTGGGTGGTAGGGGCACAAGCACTTGGGCCATCCTCTGCTGCCTTCCCAGGCACATTAACAAAGAGCTGGATCAGCAAAGCAGCTGAGACTTGAACTGGACTCTCATATGGAATGCCTCCATCACAAGTTGTGGCTTAACCCACTGCACCACAGTGCCACCCCTAATCCTTACTTTAATTTTCATAACCACTTTGCATGTGGATGTCATGAGCCCCTAGATAAAGAAGTACCCTAAACACAAAACCTCAGAGGCTGAGGCAGTGCCAGGTCTCAAACCGCCTTCCTGAGGTTGTTCTCTTTCCTTTCACTGAAAACAGGGTCAGAGCTTTTTGAAGATGACTCTAGCATAGATTAGAGAGTGATCAGGTTCAGGGAGACCGGTCATGAGACTCTGAAATTGTTTGATCCAGAGGTAAATGAGAACTCAAAGGCTGAAGCAAATGAAATGGATTGAGTTTCTGGAATGAACAGAGGGGCTTAGGGCAAAAATAACCTCACTCAGGCTTTTTCCTCCAAGAGGAATCTGGTCTTAAAAGCTATTTATCTTTTAATTTCTCAGGTGTGAGAGCTCTCTAATGCAGTCAAGCAGACTGTCAACAGATGCAATTTCTAGCTGATTTATAAGGGAGATTTTCATTCTGAAAATTTCCAAAGCCACCATTTCAAATCGTGATGGAGTATGGGGGAGGTATTAGTCAATCTGGGTGTTTTTAGTCTCTATATTACTGGGTCCTGGGATGTGGTTAAAAAGAGAATTCTCCAGATGTTGCCAACACAGTGTGTTATTAAAGGCACCTTTCATAGAACTGTGGAAATTCTGATCACTAACATGTCCCCTGGCCATCTTTCTTTCATTCTAGGAATTCTGTGATCAAAGCTTCATCTCCTAGACATTAAAAAAAAGTGCAGAAAGAGATATGTTTGCCTAATTATCCCTTCTTGTAAGACTCCTGCTCACACTGGAATTTCCCATCTTGACCTTCATCATTCAAACACAAAATGTTTAACTCTTCACATTTAAGCCTTTACATAAAGCCTTCACATAAAGCCTTGCTTTAGGAAGTATCACCACTCTTACCTTGCGCATCTTCAAGATAGACTTTGGAAGATAGGGCTTTGGTAAGCAAAGGGCATGTTGTATAAAGCAGCAGCTGTTCTCTATAAAATGGTGTGCTTTTACTAGTCTGATGTATCACCCGTGCATATACTCCAGTTCAGATTTTAGAGTTGATAAAAGAATTGACTTTATCATTCTGTCCAAAAAGAATTGACAGTGGTGAAGAATGGCTAATGTGCTCTACAGCTGTCCACCACCCCGTCCACCTCAGAAGTATTCTCAGACTTTTTTGTTGTTGTTGTTCTTAAAGCCTCTGGTATTCTGGATAATTCTGTGCAGCTTCCTGTTGCCATAATCCTTGTAACATAGCAATAGACATCAGTAAGGCAGGTGATCTTTCAATATAGTGGCCATTCGAGTTAATTTCCTGCTCCCTTCATTGTTCAATGTGCAGTAGAAACTTTATAAATAATTCCCACAGAAAGTGGGACATGTCACCTGCAGTCAGTGGGAAATATAATTAGGAAGAAAATGAACTTTTCAGGAACCCAAAAGTGGACAAAGGTATCTCCTAGTGACACTGTTGGAGAACCAAAGAGGAACCATGGAAAAGGACACAGTGTCTGACAAACTTCTGTCCACAAAATGAAGAGATTGAAATTTCTGACCATAAAATGAGGTCTTGGAACGCCCATTTCTATCACTCTATGTCAAGAAATCTGAAAAGGAAATAAAATAAATTCTGCTTCATAGGTACTTCAAACTGGGGTACTTTGGGTTGGAAAACTTTCCCAACTGAAGACAGACCCATCAGGGTCAGGCTTGAGAGAATTCTGTCATCAGACAAAAGGCTGACATCTCATTGTAGGTTATTTCCAGCTCTGAACAGGTACTGCCCTGCACTTGAGGGTGGCCCACTCACTGCTTCTGCAATTTCTGTGGTTGTAGGTGTCAGGGCAAAAACACCACTAACCGGTGGTGAGGCCTTCTGCTGTTTGCTTGTAGAGGGAGTTTTTGCTTTCTGACAGTGTCCTTGTTCCTCACAGGAGAGGTTTTACATACACAGGGACCTGTTTCTCTTCTCTTTAATTCAGGTCATTCCTTGTGAGGAAACAAAAGACAATCTAAATTCAAACAATTACTTCCAAAAAACTGTTATCCCTTCATCCCGGAAAGCGTTCAGATAGAGGCTGGATCAGAATCCAGGACCCTTAAATTTCAGTCCAGTATTCCCTGCACATCTTCACGGTGATGCTCAGTGATATACCTTCAACTATCCACTCATGCACTGGTATCAGAGGGATGAAAAATGTTACAATCCTTGTTCTCAAACTACTCATCATTTAACAACAGAGATGTAACATCTGCTAGGCAATTTCTGTCTTGCAAACTGCCAAGGAGAAGCCAACAGTAGTTGCCAATGAGTCAACATCATCAATGAGTCCCCCAACATGGTTTCAAGTAAGTCACTCATTTAGGGGAAAACAATAATATAATAATCTCTTGGATTTTTGGGTATTTTCCACTCTTAGGTTACTCAGATAGTGTCTGGCCAGCTGATTGATTTTAAGGTTTCCTTGGGATTAGCCTCCATCAAGAGAGTACAAGTTACACTGGGAAAAGTCTTAGTACAATGGTTCCCAACACCAGTTGCACATAGATGGTACATCTAAAGATTAATGCATTAAATGATGATGTCAAGACTAATGAAGAATTAGCTAGTGAACCAGCGCCATGGCTCACTTGGCTAATCCTCCACCTGCGGCGCTGGCACCCTGGGTTCTAGTCCTGGTTGGGGTGTCGGACTCTGTCCTGGTTGCTCCTCTTCCAGTCCTGCTCTCTGCTGTGACCCAGGAAGGCAGTGGAGGATGGCCCAAGTGCTTGGGCCCTGCACACACATGGGAGACCAGGAGGAAGCATCTGGTTCCTGGCTTCGGATCGGCTCAGTGCACCGGCTGTAGCGGCCATTTGGGGGGTGAACCAAAGGAAGGAAGACCTTTCTCTCCATCTCTCTCTCTCTTACTGTCTAACTCTGCTGGAAAAAAAAGAAAAAGAATTAGCTAGCCTCTCTGGGGGAATAGAACAGGCCATAACAACAATATTTTGTC